AACGAGAATTGCCATAATCTAGTGGGAAATGGTTTAACTCATCTCCAAAGCTCTAAAGCTCCAAAAAGTATCTGTCGCCTTAATAGTGCTTTCAGTGTTTTCTAGCCTTTGAGTTCAGTTGGTCATTTTAGGTATCGTGTCTCATCGATGAATGGTATATCTTTATGGTGATCAATTTTTTTTCGCATTTCATGTATGAAGGATTTTCTAGTATTATATCACTAGTATCAGCTGGTCATACCTACAAGACTCTTCTACAAATACTTTTCATTTCTTAAAAACCTGAGAATAGTCTTTCTCTTATTTATTTAATTATGTAATTTAATGTTCCCATAGCGTTGCTGTTTCTTACGGGATGCTCGTGTGGCTCCTAATTTGTCTTCATTACATTTAGGAAGACGTGTGGATTCAAAGAAAATCCGAAAAAAAACTTTGATAACTTGTACATTTACCTAACATTTATATACATCTTTCACTAAGCAACCTTTCTAGAGATGTTTTAAGTTTGTAAATTGAATGTCACGAATTTATTCACAGCATCCGGATTGGTATAGATTGGTTCGAATAGTCTCAATTTACTTTGAGTGAATCAAAATCTTGAAACGATATCGATGCCTTTACAATACATATTTGAGAATATTGTCGGCAAATTTGGAACTTCTTGAGAAATGTAGGTTAATGGGGTCTCCCTTTCAGTGAGGTAAAATCTATTACATTTCTCAATATTTCGTGTCCTACAGAATGCCAAATTTCTTGTGGCCAACCATTGTTTAAATTTTCTGATAATTATCGCAGAGAAATTTTTTGCCTTTTCAGTCGTCGATCTCAATCTTAACCTTGTTGTTTAGGATCCATCAACTTCTCAGCATGTGACAGCTAGGATTACTCTTGACTTCCGAGATCTCAATAAGGAAGGTCATCTTCTCACATTATCAGTTCTTCCGCATGTTCTGTATGAAGTGAGTGATGTGTTATTCACCTTATTCACTGCGTTGTCTTTCGATATTATCATTCGCACTTATCTCATCCAGCTCTTGCAATCAAAATCACAGCTGACGGAAGCTCTTGATAGTTTTTCTCATGGATTGAAGCGATGGGCTGAACCTACCGAACAAGAAACATTTCGCACATACCTGGCTTGCGTCTTTGTTGTTGCCGGGTGTGAGGATAATCCACTGAGCGAGCTGAGTAAGCTCGTTCAAATGCAACATACACAACAGGTGGGATAATTTTTATTAACCTGAGATAACTATTAATACGAGTGGTCAATGCTTATATTTACTTTAAACGTGATTTTGATTGGTCGTAAGTAAATGATGAGTCATCTTCTATCTTGGAATTATTTCTATGACGTAAGGTCGCATATAGCAATGTGCGTCATACATTAGTTTTCACGGTTAATGTAGAAATTTTTCAAACTTTTCATACCTCGGCTTACAGTTTTATGCTATGTAGTTTAGTTTATGTTATGTTTTATGCTGAGTAGTATTCATAGTTGGTTGTTTCTTTGCTTGGTGACGTGTTCGTTAAGCAGTTCTCATCATTCTCCATACTACATTTCTACTTAGCCTGAGACCGAGTTAAAGTAAATGATGCTTTCGCTTCTTGAACAAGTTTGATGAGCACAACGAGGATGACGGCGTCCTGCTTCAGCAGGTTTTATAGCCTAAGGGAAGAAATTTTTGCATTCTACTATTCATGCTATTAATTATACATATCTTTACCTGCGAAAATTGTTCAATCAGCTAAAAAATCATGTTTTCTTATTTTCATCAACTTTACAAAACACAACGGGACTGGAACGTATAAATCTTCTAGAAGTAGTTAATATTTTGCGTAAAACAATTTTAGCTTTCATGATGAAACTTTAGGGTAAACTCGTAGGTTTGTGCGAATATGCTTTGTGTGGCGAGTGCCATTAAATTTTCGATCCTCATCATGTACTAGTATAACAAGGTTTTCCAGGGTT